CCCATTCTCTCAAAGTTTGTCTACCAAATACACAGTCACTACACTTTATGGTAAATCCTGTAAAGCGCTTTGAGACATCCTCCTGATGCAAAAGGAGTTGTCCCAAATGCAAAGAATATTATACTCCTCCCCACACCCTTTCATATTTCCGCTTTTCAGATATTTATCTAATAAGAATAGTAATCCAAAACTGGACACAATATTTCATCTGAAGCCAAACTACTGATTCATATAGGCTTAGTGCAATCCCTTTGCTTTCACATTCTAAGCCTCAATTTATAAAACCTTGGATTCCATTTGCTTTTTTACAGCTTTGTCAGCTTGCCATCTCTCATCTTTAAAGATTTGTGTACATTAACCCCTCGTCTCTCTGTTCGAGGCTACTCCTTTTAAAGTTTTATCGTTTGGTGAATATTTTCTGTCCATCCTTATTTGACCTACCTGAATGGATTACCTCATACATTTCTGCATTAAATTTCATCTGCCGATGTCCTCCTCAAATCGATTAAGGTCCTCCTTACTGTTAGCTACTCTCTAGTTTTGAGTCCCACTTACAAATTTCAATGATGCTCCTTATATTTGAGTCTAGATAATTTATATTAATGTTGTTTACTCACTAAGTTTCCCCCACAAAAAATACAGTAAATTCACTTCACAATATATTCTGTGAAGCGCTTTGAGACGTCTCAAAGACATGATAAGGTGCTACATCATATGCAAGGATTACTATTAATATTATTAATGTTGTTCATTCAATAAGGTGGAGCCTCATTAAAGCATGATGTTTGGAATCCGCAAAATCCCAATGGTGAGGGGTGTTTTACTGTGCCTGGACTCAGCTGACCAACCCCCTTCCTGCTCGCTAATCACATTGGTTAAAAGAAAAAAAAAGGCTGAACTTTTATCCATTGGGTGACAAAAGATGGTCACTTCCACTGCACATTGCGCAAAACAGGAAGTGACATTATTGGTGAGTGTTTTCAGCGCAGAAAGCTACAAATGACCAGCTTCCAGGTCATTAAGTCCCAGCCCATCACCCTGCTCAAGGGTATGCAAACCGAGCTGAGAATTCCATGCATCCCACCTCCACATGGAAATCCCAGAGATAGATTGTTGACATTGGAGGCAACCTAAAGACTCAGTAGTTGGTCATGTTGGCGTGTGCAGGAAGCAAGCTGAGTGTGTATAGGCAGAGAGAATAGAAGTCAACAGTACAACTGTGTGATAAGCAAACTCTGCCTATAGTGAACCGTGTTACAATGGGGCTGTTGTCTAGAATCTTTTACCATCTTAAAATCACCCTACACAACTCTAAATCTGCTTCCTCTCTTGTCCTGCTGCCTTGGAGTATCAGTAACCTCAGAGGGTATCAGTGAGGCTCTCATCTCACACCACTCATTCAAGTTGAGTCTCGTGCCTGCAAACACATGGTTCACTGCAGCCCGAGAATGATAAAGATGCCAAATCCACAACAAGGGTCATGCAGTGTAAACAGACAAATAAAAAGGAATCCCCATTTCCACAAGTGGGCAGATGAGCAGGCGCCTGATGCCTGTCAAGTCCCAACATAACAGCCACTGATTGCCTGTCGCACATCATTTTTATCAGTGAATCCAGGCATTAACATTTCAGAGAGCAGAGCCAGACACTCTCTTGTTCTTTAATCTCATGCCAAGTCGCTGCAAGACTCTGTGACAGACTTCACATAATCGTATATATTTCTGACCCAATAACAGGAACTGGGGCCTACAATTTCTCCCCTCGGTGGGAAGAATGCAGGAGAAAGGTTTGATGTTTGCGATTGTGATTTTTTATTATTCTATCTCGCTAGGCAAGGCCAAATTTTAACTCTGTGTTCAAGAGATATTTTTGCATCCGATTTCCAATTCAAAAACGTCAAATGCCAGGCTGGTTCCCACTCATTTTCCGTCCTTGTTGGAAAACGTCCAAGCTAATTTCTTTCGAAAAGCATTGGAATGTTTCAAAGAGAATTCTTAATATAATATAAATAATCCTTGTGTTTGATATAGCACTTTTCATGTCTTCGAGACATCTCAAAGCGCTTCACAGAATAGACTGTAAAGTGAATTGACTGTATATTTGCGGGCGAAACGCGGCAGTCAATTGTGCACAGCAGCGTCCCACAAACAGTCGTGGATTGAGTGACCAAATTATTATCGTTTTTTTTAAGAATTATTATCCCCGGAAAGCCATCCGCCAATCGACTAACAATCGGGTTCCTACTTACTGCTAAGTAAACAGAGGCGTGTGGAGTAAGGAAACTTGCCCAACATTTCGCCCTGACCTGCTTGGGATTCGAACCCAATTCCTCTCGCTTGCAATTCGAGTGCTCTACCCACTGAGCTACAGGACTCCACAATCTGACGTTCTATCCCAAAGGCCTAACAATAGTCAAAATACTAACACAAAGACGCTAGTTTATTATTATTTAATCTCAGCAGCATTTCTCTTTTCTTTTTGAATAGGGCCACGGGATCTTTAACATCCACCTGAACAGGCAAGTGGCGTCTCAGTTTTTGTCTCTCAGTTTTTGTCTCATTCGAAGGACTGTTCCTCCGACAATAAATCCCAACATGAAAGGATTATTAATTATTATCATTATTTAATCTCTCTGTGCTTCCACAACTCCTCTGTGTGTAACTTTCTGCTGTCTAATTCCGGGCTTTTAAAATAGAAAAATTGTTTCACATTGACATTTCGGTGGGATCTTTATTCTTGATCTATAAGCACAATGCAATGTTTCGTCAGTCCGCCTTACTCAGTAACATTAACAAACAATGTTGCATCTAAGAATTATTTCACACCTGTCAGCGTTGCAGACAACACAATTGTGTTTCAGAAATACGCTTCGGAAATATGATTGATTAAGTGACAGATAAGTTATTTTTCCACGCATGAATGAGAACCAAATAGCAGTTAATATTTATCAAACAGCTAAGAAATTAACTAAACTTTGATGACATTAAAGAAATTCCCTTGAATATTATATATTATATAATAATATCGAATATTAGTGAAGAGTTTACAATAATAATCGTACTTGCCTTTGATACAAATTGTCGAGGTGTCTTTACAAGATTGAAGTGTAGTGACTGTGTTTTTATAGATGAATGCAGCAGCCGATTTGCACACAGCAGTTCTCCCACAAATAGCCATGATATGAATGACCATTTTTACCTGGGGACACCAGGAGAAATACCTTCTCTTTCCCAATAGTCACATGGGATTCTTTAACGTTCGCACGAACAGGGAGATGGGACTTCGGACAAAGGACGGGATCTCCAACAATACAGCACTCCTCCAGCACTGCAAATGGAGCACCAGCCTAGACTAACTCATCTCATCCCATTGGACCCCAACCCATTCCCATCCTTACAAAATATAAAGTCACTACATTGTACGGTAAATCCTGTGACGAGCATTGTGATGCCCTCCTGACATGAGGAGAATTAAGAATCCTAAAGTAACGCTGCATCAAACGCAAGGATTATTGTTCCCCGCTTGATCTCATCCCATTTCAGCCCAATATATTCCCATTTTATCCCTATTTCATCCCCATCCCATCCTGTATTTCAGGGGGACTACAGGTCAGTTGTATGCCCAGTCTTAGAGAAATCTCACGAGGCTGATGATTTATATAAGCTCCATCTTGGCATTGTGCCACCTGTGTTTTTGATATAACATTTACCACATGCTGTAGACTAAATCAGAGGTCATAAATTTTCTATGAAACCAGTACAATGTATTGCCCTCACAGTATTAATTATTATTTTCCAAGTCACCATTAATCACCTGTGCTTCGAAAGCCTTTGGATACGTTTCGTCCACATATATTACACAGCTTTTCCTGGAGTTACATTTTAATTTGACAAGCTGGCAGGAAGTCTTTAAAACCCATTGAATTGGTGATTATATGCTTTGAAAAGACAGATTATTTTATCACTATTTTTCAACGTTGAATTACAGCCTCCAACTTTTCCCTGAACTGTAATTTCACAGAGTATTGGTTTACAGTAACAATCACCTCTGAGTTGACTCAATCTTCTCGTATCTCTTGCCGTGCTCTGGTGCACGAAACGGAGTTGAGTGAATATGCATTAAGTATGACTCTAGTTGTCTCGGTGAACCTCAATGAGAGATTTTTACATCTTCCCCTGCACTTAATTTGTGCATAATTGGCAGCCTGTCACTAGCCATTATCTGTAATTTAGGCCTGTTCTTGCCAGTGTCTGGCACTAACAACGCTAATGAACTGTTCAAAAAAATCTGACGTACAAGGGAACGACCAAGTTTACAATCCCTTCATTTGCATTTGATGTGGCACTTACAAAGAGCACCTGTTACATCATAAGTGCTTTACAATGATTACTGTTAAATGTAGTGACTGTAGTTCATGTTCGTCTACAAACCACACAGTCAAGACATGAACGGTAAATTCCTGTGAAGCGCTTTGAGCCGGCCTCCCACAGTGAAAGGTGCTATATCAAATGCGAGGATTGTTCTATTATTATTTATAGGCAAACACAGCAATGACCACAAATAGCCACGTCTGTCACAGGCTGACTAATTAACTGGAGGATTTTGGCCAGAATACTGAGATAAATTCCTTTCTCTTTACCAACAGTGTCCTGGTCTCTATGGGTTAACTCTACTCACCAGTAAGTGTGGTCTTACTGTCCACGTATTCCAGTTGTTAATCACCCCCTGCATAAAGAGAAACGATCTGGAGTCTGCCCAGAAATTGCCCTTTACAACCTTAAACCTACGTGCTCTTGTTCTGCCGTCTTGTTGCACCCTAAAGTATTGATGTGGGTTTAGTTTTGCATCTGATTTAAGATGCTACAATAATTATTGTAATAATATTACATACGCCTGAATGTCGCAGCGTTTAACTAGAATGAAGCGACATATCCTGTGGCTCCAATCTAAAACTTGCTTGCGCTTCACAGAGATACACAAGGGGAAGAAAGGCTACTTACCACCATGTGGTTGAGGGACACCCAGCAGTCAGGTGGGAATTCCTGCAGCATTGGAACCAGGAACTGGAGACAGCCATCCCAGTGACACAACAACAGCATCATGCCGATCAGGTTAACAATCCTCACCACTGCACTCGCCAGGTCATACGTCATGTGGAAAATCTATCCGACAAAGCACAACAGGATCATTTGTAAGTTTTGATAATAATAGTAATAATAATAATAATCCTTGCATTTAATATAGCCCCAATTCGCGTCTCCTAGAAGTCTCAAGGCACCTGACAGAATAAAGGCAGCAGCCAATTGCACCCAGCAGTCTCCCACAAACAATCGTGGATTAAGTGACCAAATTATTATTATCTTTTTTTTTGAAGGAATTATTACCCCCAGAAAAGCGATCTGCCAATCGACTAACAACCAGGTTCCAACTCACTGTTAGGGAAACAGAGGCGTGTGGAGTAAGGAACTTGCCCAACATTTCGTCCTGCTGGGAATCAAATCCAGGTCCTCGGGCTTGCGAGGCGAGTGCTCTAACCACTGAGCTACAGAACTCCACAAAGTTTTGCGTGAGACAGGTTGGTAACAAGATAAATGTTCAACAAGATGTTTGTGCAAGAAACTAATTTCAGACCAAGAGGCAATTGTCCAACTTTTTATATTAAACACACTTGTCCAAATCGCTCTATTTACCCAGCATAACAGGAAATTGCAATGATCTTTGATGGTCAGAGGTTACTAATTGTTATGGATGTCAGTGGATTAGAACATTTCGCTGCTCATGAGACTATTAATGTTTAACATCCCTCTCCTCCCCAGAAGTCATCGAAGCTTCCTAACTGGATAAACGTGAGTTGACATTCCCAAGTGTTTTACTTTGTAACAATAATAATCCTTGCATTTGATATAGCGCCTTATTACATTGTTGAAACGTTTCAAAGCGCTTCGCAAAATATATTGTAAAGTGAATGGACTGTGTATTTTGTGGTCAAATCGCAGCAGCCAATTGCACACAGCAGTATCCAGTGCCATGGATTAAGTGACCAAATTTTTTTAGAGGGAGAGATTATTACTCCCAGAAATGGATTCAGCAATCGACTAACAACCGGGTTCCTATTTACTGCTCGGTAAACAGAGACGTGTGGAGTAAAGAAACTTGTCAAAGGTTTCACCCCGCCCGGGAATCAAACCCGGGTTCTCTCGCTTGCAAGGTGAGCGCACTAACCACTATGCCATGGAACTCCACGCATCAGTAGATGTTAGCAATGCAAGAATTTCCACTAAGGCCCAGATTTACTCTACTTAGTAGCATTTCGGAGCATCCAGAACTTGGCAAGTTGTTGAATTCAGTCTTAACTTTGTAGCCCGTTCTCTGTAATTTCTTAAAAGAACATATGATGAAAAAAACTGCTTCAGAACCAAAGCTGTGTTTAAGAACTTGCCAAGTTGCAGAACTCTCTGAAATACTACATTAGTAGATAAAATCTAAAACCGGGTGGAATTTGCCCACAGAGTATTTTATTAAAGCGGTGTTCGATGTAAAGAGCTGTGTGGCCCGTTGAGATATGGGGTTATATCCAGTGTGAAGCAAGATTTAAACCAATCCCTTTTTCTCTCTTGAAGTGAGTTTGACATCTCTTGGCCAAGTTTCTGAATGGTGCATTTTCTCCCTCACATAATGCAGCAACGTTGGATTAATATTCTGCCATTATGTAAATAAAGTCCTGAATTGTCTCCTGATTACATATTTCATAGCAGTTTCCCTTTGCCTTTCCGTCTTATGATTCTTCACAGAATCAGAAAAATTCAAGAGACAATTCGCACATAAGGGGATCTGAACTGGGTCAAACTCAACTGTTATTTTCCTTTTGGGGAAAAGTATTCTCTGCAAACAGAACACTTTCCCTATAACAGCTGTTGATTTTTTCTTTGGGAAGCTTTATCATACTCTCTCGAATAATTTAATTACATTTTCGAGGACAAGAGAAGTCTTTTTGATGCCATCCTTCGCGCATTTTCTTCTGGAGTGTTAAACATAAAGGAACATTAAAAGCGCACATGTTTCCTCTTTGTGTTGGGCCATTTGTACTGAATTTCCATTCAAGTCTCATTTCATCTCTTTTTATTCAGTGAGATTAGCCTGATTTGGGACAATTGTGGGAAAGACCTGGCACTGGTTAAGTGTTATTGTCTTCGTTTGCTGGACAATGCTTATCTAATGAGGCTGAATCTCCTATCTTGCATCATTAACACCTCTTTAACCCACTATCCCTTGTCCTCTACCCCATTTTCTCTTTTGTCTTCCTGGTCCTGCCTCCCCCATCTCTGTTTGCCCTTAAAAGCCTCTCCCTCCCAACACACCCCAGTTCTGACGAAGGGTTGTGTACCTGAAACATTGAGTCACTTTCCTTTCACCATAGATGCTGCCTGACCTGCTGAGTGTTCCCAGTGTCTTCTGTTTTTGTTTTGAATCTCCTATCTGTCCACTTGATGTAGCAATTGAATCATCCAAAGCACAGAAGAGGGAGAAATTCCACCTGGATCTAAATTCACAACAACAACAGCAAGGCCAACCTGATATATATATATATATATAGCGTAATGTCTTGAAGAGCTTTGTACACAATTTATATTTAAATCGTGCCTCAAAACACTTCACCCAACCGGCTGGGCACCTGAGTTGGGTGGGGTATCTGGGGAGGGGAGCTGAAGAGGGTGGGGCCGTGATGGTTGACCACAAGCACCGTCAGAGAAGTAAGTCTTAAGGCAGAGACATTGTTGTACGCTGGCAAAGTGCAAGAGGAAGGTCTTCAGATGGGACTTGAAGGAAGAAGAGAGAGGGTGAGGCGAAGGGATTTCAGGATAGAGTTCCAGAGTGTGGGGACAAAGATGCTGAATGCCCGACCGCCAACGGTGGGGCGGGAAGTGTGGTGGACCTGAAGCAGGCCGGTGTCTGCCGTGAGGAGAGAGCGGACAGGCTGATATTTGGTTATGAAGTCAGAGAGGTAGGGGGGAGCAAGACCGTGGAGGGCCTTGAAGGTAAGAACGAGTTTTGCACCCAACTCTCTGAGGAATGGGGAGCCAGTGAAGCCGGGCAAGAACGGGTGTGATAGGTTCCCGGAGCCTAGTGCGGGGCAGGACACAGCTGCAGAGTTCTGAATAATCTGCAGCTTGTGGAGAAGAGTCGGGAAGCCTAGTGAGCAGGCAGTTGGCGTAGTCAAGCCGGGATGTAATCAAAACGTGGATCACGGTCTCGGTGGCCTGCGGTGAGAGGCAGTGGTGGATGCGGGCAATGTTGCGGAGGTGCGGAAAGGCGGAACTTTGTCACAGCACGAATGTGGGGTTTGAAGGATAGCTGAGAGTCAAAAAGGACACCAAGGTTTTGGATTGACTCAGTGAGGTAAAGGGTGCAGCCAAGAATGGTGATAGTGTCAGCAGCCGAGGAGAGGAGGTGCTGCCAGGAGCTAAGCAGGAGGGCCTCTGTCTTGCCAACATTGAGCTGAAGAAGTTGGCTCTCATCCAGGACTTGATGTCAGACAGACAATTAGCCAGGACATCAACAATCCAGGAGTCGAGGGTGGAGGTGATGAGATAGAGTTGGGTGGAAATTGACCCCATGCCTGCGGATGACATCGCCGAGCAGGAGAATGTATAGATTGAAGAGGAGGGGACTGAGGACAGTGCCCTGAGGGACGCCACTCATGATAGTGCGGGGGCTAGAGGAGAAGCCGTTGGTGGCCACAAAATGCAGATGGTGGGAAAGGTAGGATTGGAACCAGACAAGAACAGAACCATTAAGGTGGAGGTGAGAGGAGAGGCGGTGGAGAAGAATAGAGTGGTCGATGGTATCGAAAGCAACCGAGAAGGACAAGGAGACAGAGAGAGACCTGGTCGCAGGTGGACGGAATGTCATTTGTCACTTTGACCTTCTGTGCTGTGAGCAGCACAAAACCCAGATTGGAGGGGTTTATGGAGGGAACGTTGGGAGAGGAAACAGCGTAGCTGGGAAATGACGACTTGTTCCATGATCTTTGATACAAAAGGAAAGTTTGAAATGGGGCAGTAGTTGGAGAGCAGAGATGGGTCAAAGGATGGTTTTTTGAGGGTAAAGATGATGATGGCTGTCTTTAGGGTGATGGGTACAATGACCAGGGAGAGGTTAACGAGGTCTGTTAGTAGGGGTGCAAGGAGGTGGAGCTGGGAAGTGGATAAAGGGGTCGGGATGGGGTCAAGGAACAGGTGGTGGGTTTCATTACGGAAAATGATAGAGGTGAGCAAAGAGGGGAAGACAGGGTCAAAAATGTGGAGGGAGGGATGGGCGGAGTGGGAGCAGGAGGTGGGAGGGGAAGTGGGTGCCTGTAGAGGGGCTAGAGGTGGCACAACGGATCCCCTAGGCTTTGGGCTCGAGGAAATCCATCATCTCCTCGCATTTGGTTTTGGAGGAGAGGATGGCAGGCACGGGAGAGTGGATGGAGGAGTTGGTTTATGGTAGAAAAGAGGAGTCTGGGATTGTCCTTAGCTTCCAAGATGATTTTGGAATAAAAGGATGTCTTAGCTGAGGCGAGGGGAGAGTGGTGGGTCTTGGTGCAGTCCTGCCAGATCTGATGGTGAACACTTAATTTGGATTTGCACCAGGCGCATTCGGCGGAGCGCAGCTGAGATTTGAGGGAGCGGAGGTGGCAGATGTACCAGGGGGATTTGTGCGAGTGGGAGGCGGTGCGGGAGATGATGGGGGCAAGTGTGTCGAGGATAGCCGAGAGGGAGTTGTTTAGAAGAGTGACCAAGGAGGATAGGTCATTGCGGGCGGGGGGGGGAGGCAGAGGAGTAGGAGCTCAGATGCCTCTAGAGCAGCGGAGAGGGCATGGAGGGGGATTTTTCTCCAGGAGCGATAGGAGATGCACGTGGGGTGGGTGGCAGGGAGGGGGAATGGAGGAGTTAAGAGAGATGAAATAGTGATCTGAAATGTCTTGCTCAGCTTTGGTGGCATCAGAGACCACACTGTGGTCACCCTGCCCTTGGCTCGGTGAAATGGAAAGCCCTCCAATCTCCCAGCACCAAAAGGGTATAGGTCACCCACGTTCTTCCCTTGCTTGCTTACTTGCTGCGAAAAGCAGTGATGCCAGCCTGCAGTGGGAGGCTTGCGTCCGTTGTTAGCCCCGCTGTTA